GCGTCGCCCCTTAAAGTGAAACACGCATATTTAAAAATGTTTTACTTATATTCGATAATAAAACATTAAAACCTATTGTGTATTACGTGGGATGTGTGGCGTGTGCTTGATCAAGCCTTTTTGGCAGCTAGTTCCGGCGTACACCTCACTTTGTCGTACACCATTTGCCAATTTTCCTTGGCCTGCTGGAAGGGGTCGGATTTCGATTTGGCTAATGTGGCCAGGTCCATGCATGGCGTCATTTCGATTGTGATCTTCTGATGACGCATGCAATTGCCTCGACTGCAGCTGGTGTCCTTGGCATAGCATTTGTCGTGCGGGCCACACGGTGTGGGTATAAAATCACGGCCCGTAAACCGTAAAGTGGACAACGGCGGATTATTACATGCCAGACAGTACGAGGCACAAGCCCAGCCGCCACACATCCTGGTCAATAGATTTTCGTTTTAGCTGAGTGGTAATAATATTTATATTATTATTATATATATATGTATTTATTAATATATTTATGGAAATTTACTCTTGAAACTTAAAAATTTTGAGGTGAGCGTTCGGCCCACAACCCAAGACCAGACTGCTTTAATTTTTGTAGGCCTGACAACATTGTCGACTTGAATCATATTCCGAAAAATTCAAGGCCAGCTTTTCTCAAATTTTTACAGCACCTGTGTGGGCAGTGAATGTTTAGAGTTCTCACACAATACTCAAAGGAGTTGAGCCTCTTACCCAGTTATCAGTTGGCGGCTAGCCGTCTATGTTAGTTCTGGCGTTACCAGCCGCAGCCGCCGCAGCAACCGCCACCGCAGCAGCCGCCGCCACAGCCACATGCGGAGCAATTGTCATAGATGCCGCAGGGCGTGGGCGCAAAGCAGCGACCCGTATACCGCACATTGGACAAACGATGAGTGTTGCAGGCAATCGCATATGAAGCACACGCCCAACCGCCGCACATCTCTGCTCTGTAATTGCTAGAGTCCGGGCTCTGGTCGCCTGTTATTATTTTCAGCTGAGCAACTTAAGAGTTGAAGTTTTTTCTTTAGTTTTTGAAAATTTTGCTTGAAAAGCTAACGAGCATGGAGCTAAAGCGTGTGCCGAAAAAAATTTGAGTGTAGCTAAAGTTTTGGTGTTGCCCGCACCGAAGGGGGAATACGAATGAGCATCCATTTTCATAGACAGAGCTCGTTGCCGTTGCCGGCAGCGTAACTCCGACTGACAGCTGTTGACATGTCCAGCGCCGCCAACTTGGACAATTGAAATCTCAGCGACAGGTCGAGAGCTAGCCGGGCCGGCCGTGCGAGCACTGAAGCAGGCAGGCAAGGCCAGGACAGGCTAGGACAGGACCATTTCGTAAATCTTGCCAAGTCCTGTTGAAATCCACGAAAATCTCGCACATAGCAGAGAAGCAAAAAACAAAACGGAAAAATATGCTAAAAACAGTGGCAGCTAAAGTGAAATTAATCCAACAGCTACAGCCACACGCACAGTGGTTGCACTTGTAGAAAATTGAGCAGAAATTTATGGATTATTTAGGGTTGAATTTCGCCTTGAGCGAAGCTTTTGATATAGTGATTGATTTTGTTTTAAATATTTCAAATATTTTTATTTTTGTTGTGTAAAGAAATTTTTTATTTTAAAATAATTTGCGTAAATAATTTGCGTAAATAATAAATAATAAATAAACTTGCAGACAGAGGCCCAGAAATCTATTGATAAGAGCTTTAGAGAGCATTGCTTTATATGTATTATTGCAAGCATTTATTTATTATTTTAATTAATTTTATTTCGGTTTATTTACTGTTTATTTAAATGATTTTGAAGCCTGTCATATTTGTATTTAGTTATTTTGTTATTATTATTATTATTATTATTATTATTATTATTATTATTATTATT